TTCAAAAACAAATCGCCATCAGCGAGGTTTCACAGCTGTTTCATTCATCAAAAGTTCTTGTCGATCGTAAAATGATCACTCATCTGTTGTCTCCACTAGTGTGTCATTTGTAGCGTAATCACGGCGAGTCAAAAATCAGCGTCAAAACTAAGAAAACCCCGGAATAAAAAACGCACAATCCGCATCGCTGTACAAAAACAGGAGATTTCAGGCGCCATCTTGTCATGAATAAGTAAGTAGCAGTGCGCGATCGACGCTCTGATTGGTTCACCTCACATGACCTGCGTTCTGATTGGATAAGCGATGTGGCTAGCAGCACGCAGCTCACGCAGCGCGGGAAGATCTTTCTTCATCGGTGCAGAACATTTACGCTGCTTTCTACGTTTTTTCTACGACTACTTAGCAACATCCTATTAAAGAAATGCATAATTAAACGAATTTTCGGGAAGATATATATTTCTCTACGCCGATTTTTGGCCTCTTTCTCGTAATATTCTTGTTCAAGGAACCCGGAAGTCAGTGTACCGGGACGCGGAGTGAATTTCTATTGGGCATTTATGAACCGCACCCCGCTAGAATTAAACCGTCAAAACTTCCAAAAAGCGAACCTGTGACATTTTTTTAGATCCCAATGATTATGTTTTCGATCAAATTGACATCTAAATATGCTTTCTTTATTTTTCTGCATTTCGTGGCCGGGCGCAAGGACCGCGCGTAATCGTAGTGGCAAACAATTTTAATACAGCCTTTTTCCGGGAATTATTTGTGCACGAACAGTAAATTTTGGAGCCATAAGATTGAAATAAAAGCTGCTCAGAATATACCAAAAACGATGTTTAGGGGTCTAATTTTTACGATTTCCTCCGGGGGAGGCCCCCGGACCCCCCGCTGCGCGGCTGGCTTCGAGCCACTTCGTGGCTTGCCTGCTATTTTTTCTTATCAGCCACCTACTCTAAATTTTTTTGGGAAGGCTGAACGGACTATGTAGGGAGCCCCCCCGGAGCTTGGGTTTCACAGGCTAGGTGAAACCTCTACTTGGAGAGTACCACAGGTCTGTTAGAAGAAGATAATTACTCCAGACATGCTGCAGTAATTCTAAAAGCTCTGACCTTTATTGAGTTTTAGAGACTGCACCTTCCATGCTTAATTCTTCCTTGCAATTGCCTTGTTGGCTATATAGCTACAGGCTTGCGTTATATAACTCAGAATGAACTGTGGTCTAGACTGGGAACATTGCCATGCCATTATAGAACTCAATTTTCTGGGAGTGTAGAGGCATATTTCACAAGGACTAAAGATGTACTTAGTCTAGTATCATGCTGCATGGCAATTCAACATTATGGTAAGTAACAAATTGGAATCATGTACAGTAGAGCAGATTGAATTTCATTCCTCAAGCTAACCGACATCTATCACACCACAGTCATGTCTCAGTAACACATTTGGAGCTGCATAGTTCCAATTTAGAACTTTTACTCAGCCTGTCACGACTGGTTTTGCCTTGTTGGCCAAAAGACACAAGTTTTCACTAATACAAGTGCCTTTCCAGTGCATACTGCCCTGGTAACAGGACCTTCAGCTCGTAGTGCTCTGAGTTTGAGAGACATTGGAAATACATTATGCACCTGTTAGTCCTGTATATTGTACTTACAGGTCTGATAATGAACACCACGAGCCTATATCTGTGCACCCTTTCAACCTGCATCATGGTGATGATAAATGGATTCTTCGGGCCTTTCAAGGACCTCATCAAAGACTTCTTCAGATCTACACAGGCCTTGACAGAAAACCATGGGGAGAATATTATGTAATGTTTACTTTATACTTTAGCCTGTTGGTAGTAAGGCCATGTTGATTTGATTATATGGATGACATCCTCTGGGAACACGAAAGCTGATGCGAGCATGTGAATAAAAAAAAAGTTTGGCAAGAAAATTGCCTTCATTATAAAATCTAGGTGGTCATGAATTCGAAGGTTGAACAAATTTTTTATTGGCATGGTGAATAATAGACCATTTTCATTCCTTCACATTTTCTTGTCCTTTGGAATGGATTTTGGCATTCTGCGACATAAGTATCGTTTTCCAATATTTTTTCAATTTATGGCATGTATTTGCTCATTTTGCAGCTACTTACAGTATGGTCGAAACCTTATTTTTTGGAATCGGACGAAAATTCACGACCTTAGCCTGTTGGTACAAAAATATGCACTTATTCCCACTTCGTTTCCTGACATATTTGCTGTGAGGAGCAGAGGTGGTCAGGAGACCAATTAAATACAGTATAAATCTTGCCATTAGTTGTCTTGTTCCACAAAGTGCCTTCCCAACAGCTCATCCTGATGACTCCCAGTGTACCCATTTGGCAGTGGTGCCAACTAGCTTGTTTCACACACTTGTCAAGTACCATTTGCCATTGAACCTTCTGAGCTAAAACTTCATGAACTAGAAAGGTAACAGTTGCAAAGCAAATGCATAATGTTTACCTTTGCATATGGTCTGCTGTGTTAATTCTTACACAAATACATTCATATATATAAATGGTCAGACAGGAGTATAAATCCCTCCTACTATAAAATTGCAACATTATATTGTAACATAACACCAGTTACCACGGTGAGAGACGTCAACAAATCAGGTCATTGACCAAGTCAGAGGTCAGTGTTTGGAATGGTTTCGGAAACGTAGCAAAAACAATATGTTTTCCTTCGGTAAACATAACTAGAGGGCTAGGCCTGTAGGGTGATATAATTTTGCAATTAGCAAATGCATAATGTTTACCTTGACATGGGGATTGTCTAGCTGAACAAATTACTGCTCTGTTTATTCATGCTCAAAACACATTCATATATGTGGTGACCAGCCCCTCCAATGCTGTCCTGCAATTTGCTACATAATGTTATCCAGTACCACAGGGTCTCTGCTACATCACCAGTTACCATGGTGATAGCCATCTGAATTTTTTTCCTGAATTTGATTTGCAGAAAAAGAGGAAACAGAGGAAATGTAAATCTTATAAAGGTTAACCTAAATAGCGACCATAATGTGACAAATATAAATGTGTGAATTACAAAATTGCAGTGTGTTCTAAAATAGCATTACAAAAGTAGGAGCACAGACCCATGCATTCACCACACTTTGGCATTTTCCTCACATTCAGATTATGCAAAAAAAATGTATCTCTTGCCCCATCAAACTCTGCACTTATTATTTATGGGCTCATACCAGCTAGGATTTTATATAGCATAACAGTAAAAAGTCTAGGAGCGACATTTACGGCTGACCTTTGTTGCATCATATATGACCTGATATCGCTCCAATAACTTTCTTTTCACAACTTTTGACAGCTCCATAAAGTGAAGGCATACAGTCTAACTCGAAGCAATGCCTTTATGTCACTGCAATACCAATCACTATATGGACTATGGTAGGGTTTCAAATACCCACTCTCACTGTGCAAGTCATGTTTTCTGCACAAGGCTTATTATTGGAGACACTAGGTTGCTTGGCGAACAAGTATTTTTTTGCATACAAAATGTAAAAAAGTGACCCACTCACATTGGTCCATGGCCAATTTACTGCTTCTGAAATATACTATGTGTTGCTTCAGCCACCTGTTGTAAGCCAAATTATCCCTACATTTCTCTAAATGTGAAATTCTATGTGGAATTTTTGACATTTTTTTTCTATCAAACACATGATAATTACCTCCGAAGAAGGAGATATCCTTCGCGGGAAGGTACTGTTTTCGGTTATGTTTGTGTGTTGGCAGCTGTGAAGGTTTGACATATTTATTTCTGTGATTTCTGATTGTCATCAGATTTTTTTCAACATGATGCACTCCTTCCTGGAGGTTTAGAGTCTCAGACTTCTTGTTATTCCTATGGCGAGATCTAACATTACACTTGCAAATGCCTAAACTTCAGACAACAGAGGAAACCATGCAAAATTGCTTGGTTGAAAAAAAAAAAGCCCTAAAGCCAAGCAGGAAATGTCACACATAATCATTATTTCCTCTTCAGAATCTGACTTCTTGCTATTGCCATGGCGTGAGCTAAACTATACACAACTGAGGAAACCATGCAAAATTGCTTGGTTGAAAAATAGAAGCCCTAAAGCCTGGCAGGAAATGTCACAGATTATTTCCTCTTCAGAACTCCTGGCCTCTGGGGTTCCACATGTGGCTCTCTCTGGACCTAGGCAAGACATTTTAATGGACTCCGTGCTGCATAGAATTCTCGCGTGTAACAAAACGATAGCGCTGTTTTTCTGTACCTATCATAACACGTCATGCTGGATTATGTGCATTCTCTTTGATTTAAGTAGGCCAGGCCAATTCAATTATTGTGTTCTGACGTTGCAGTGTTCTAGTCAAACATCTCCAACTTTCGTATGACGTAATATCATGATTGTTGAGCGCTGAACAAGCCCCAAATCGAGTCAGTGTACTTAAAATTTAATTGTGATGTGTACTTAAATCAAGAATTTACAGTAACATTATCTATATATACTAACTAGCCTTCCTTTCTTGCACCTTGAAAAGCAAGTCAGCCTGTAAGATTGCAGGGCTCGAAATCTTTTTTCTGCATACCTGCATTAGATGGTATTTCAAGCCCTGCTCTGGACAGACTCACTAATATAAGAAGTCAAACCCAACAGTAGAATGTAGCATACCTTTGCACATAGTCTCTCATAACATCGTATCTTCTTTTTCATGTACATGTTGTTTGTATTTGTAAGTAGCCCTCGGCCATGTATTGTAGTAAACTGTCTGTATAACAGCCCTGCATGCTAATTGGGCAGCCTTGGCTGAATCGTCAGCCAAATGAATAAATAAATAAATAAAGAATAACAGACTAGTGTTTGGGTTGGTGTTAGGAAGGGCATCCAGCCGTAAAAATCTTGCTCCAAAAAAAGACTTGCATTTGATGCAAGCACGTCTAACCTCTGTTTCGGGGGAAAATGACATTAAAATTGGATAGAAGATAGAAGAAGACCCACCTGTAGCTTTTTGAGCAGGACGGCATCAGCAGGGTTGGAGGGGTTGGGTTTGGCTGCCTTCCAGAACTGCTTCTGGGCAGAATACCGGTTCATGGGACAGATCCGGAACAGGCAGTCTACAAAACAGCAACAAAAACAAAAGCATACATGATTAATTAGATCTCAAGCTCACTTGTCTTTGTACTTTGTAATTCTGTCACACGATGAGAATGGTACTTTTTAGACTTAAACTGTCACTACACATCACACCTCTCTAAGTGAAATGGTACAATTTTTTTCAATAACTTATATTTACTAACATACCATACTTATTCAATTACATCACACACTTATTGTCTACGTACTAACAATGTTTATTTGCATATGTCAGGGTCGATACTCTGATCTGGTGAAATCTACTCAGATGGTAAATTCTACCAGTAGTTTGACTCTGATCAGTGTTGTATGTGTGTTAGGTAGTTTTTCATTTATAAATCCCTAATTTTCAAATTTTTTCAAGTTAATCCACTAAAGGAACATGCACATGAATTTGAAAAGTTCTAACAGTCTTTTTATGCGAATATCTTAAAATTGCAGATTCTACCGGATCGGAGTTTCTACCCTGACAATATATATACATCTTGTCTCTATCTCTCTCTTGTGTTTTTGAAAGACGAAAGAAAATCGATGTTTAAAATCCCGCCATCAGTAAGCATTAGCAGTTCCTCCTGATACGAATTTCCAAAACCCGTAACACACAGCCTTGAGCTTGCGTTAACACTTGTAATAAATCAGGTAAAGTCCACATTGGCTTGGTGCCACCGTGTGGTATTAGCCCGTATCACCACCAAGTGTTATAGACTAGGTTTATGGTCTAGTCTGGTGGGACTTCTCACAACTATTTAGGCAAACTAACGGTAATGACAGATACTGATGTCAGGCGGTCGAACGAACTATATCTGGCTTACTCAAACTAATCTGACTTAGACTGAAATGGGGGTCATCAATTTTTGCGGTGGTAGTACAGGGGTATTACTTAGGCTTGCATTCAGACTAGGATTAGTATACTGCAACACCCAATATGTAATGTCATTACCAAGGGTAATCAAACTCAAGAGTGACGTCAGAGGCGGGAAGTATGTTACTTTTAAGCATTAGTTGGAATTAATGTCTTAGAAATTACTTGGAGAATCAAGAGAGGGGAAGTGTGATTTATCAATCTTGCCACAAATGGTGGCAATTGTAATTTAATCAACTGGTTCTCAGATTTGCCCGCTCCATTTTTTTTTCGGATTTGAAGGAAAAAAATTCAGGTTCTGAATCAATTCCAAAATGTTCATACATGTATTTTGGCCCGAGGGTTGAAGAAAGTCCTTTTCATCCTAGTTGTTGCAGTTTTTCCATCTGTCTATATTTACACTGTGATTTGAGTAAAAGTTCCAAACACTGACCTCTAACCTGGCCAATGACCTGATTTGTTGACGTCTCTCACCATGGTAACTGGTGTTGGGTTACATCATGTTGCAATTTTATAGTAGGAGGGATTTATACTCCTGTCTGACCATATATATGAATGTATTTGAGTAAGAATTAATAGATCAGACCATATGCAAAGATAAACATTATGCTTTGCAAATGTTACCTTTTCTAGTTTTTTCTTAGTCATTTCATACTTTTCAAACAAAATCAATGAACTAACATTTTAAACTGGCGTGGGCTTACTGTCTTACACAGATTCTCAACACGTCTGTGTCTATCAAGGACATAAAACTGGGCCATTTCCCACAGCACAGACTCCATCCACGTGAGTGGATTATTAATCATCAAGAACTAATGACCGTTACTAGACACAGTACTCTGCTCTTCCCTACCGCAATAACTTATATAAGGTAGGTTAATCCCATTGAAACACACTTTCTCTTCTTAATTGCAACCGCATAATTCTGACCAGATTTCTGTCTACAAAGTAAATGAAAATGGGATGAACGTAAAAGATCTCAACCAAATCAGAGTGCCCACCTTTGATATATGCATCTAGGTCATCTCTAGGGAGGCAAACTAAGTACTGGAAGACATTAAGTATCAAAGCTTGGGGTTAGAGCTTGAGATAGCTAATAGAACAAGCACTCAAGTCTGTTACATATAGGCCTCATAATCAGCACCATGGACAGAACCAAGGGCAACATAATCAGCACCATGGACAGAAAAATGGGCAACATAATCAGCACCATGGGCAGAACCATAGGCAACATAATCAGCACCATGGACAGAACCACAGGCATCATAATCAGCACCATGGACAGAACCATAGGCAACATAATCAGCACCAAGCACAGAACCATAGGCCTCATAATCAGCACCATGGGCAGAACCATAAGCCTCATAATCAGCACCATGGACAGAACCATAAGCCTCATAATCAGCACTATGGACAGAACCACAGGCCTCATAATCAGCACCATGGATAGAACCATAAGCCTCATAATCAGAACCATGGACAGAACCATAAGCCTCATAATCAGCACTATGGACAGAACCACAGGCCTCATAATCAGCACCATGGATAGAACCACAAGTCTCATAATCAGCACCATGGGCAGAACCACAGATTCCATAATTAGCACCATAGGCAGAACCATAGGCCTCATAATCAGCACCATGTACAGAACCACAGTCCTTATAATCAGCACCAAGGACAGAACCATAGGTTCCATAATCAGCACCATGGACGGAACCATAGGTTCCATAATCAGCATCATGGACAGAACCACAGATCCCAAAATCAATACCATGGACTGAACCACAGGCCTCATAATCAGCAACAAGGACGGAACCACAGGCCTCATAATCAGCACCATGGACAGAACCACAGATCCCAAAATCAGCACCATGGACTAAACCACAGGCCTCATAATCAGCACCATGGACAGAACCACAAGCTCCACAATCAGCACCATAAGCAGAACCATATGCTACAATTAGCTCCATGTGCAGTACTGCAAAATCCAATACTCCAAATGATATTTTACCAGTTTTATTGAGACCCTTACAGTCAGTATTATTAGTTGTACTGGCTCCCTGGGGTTAGTCTTCACAGTAGCATATTACAAGAACATAAACACTAAATTAAAATTCCAAGTATTGACCTTTTTCTCTTCATGTGATTGTCTTTAAAATAGCCTTTATCTGTATAACATTTAGCACAGTGCAATGACATTCCACGGGCATCAAAGCATACGTAAAGTACTTGAAGTAATCCTACAGTAACCTACATTAGTTAATACCAGCACTCCTCACTGGATTAAATGTGTTCTTATCTAACATAATAGGCTGTACAAGCATTGTCAGAATGGGGACAAGGAGCAATCTACATGCAAAAAAATTCTATTAAGACCAAAGAGATCAGATAAAAATGTGACGCCAATAGTAAAGGCTTGAGTGAAGGCTTCAAAGATGTTAACATGGTATATAAATCATGGTTTGAGTATACTTTATGTATTGTGTGACAATGGGAATCAAAGCAGTTGCATTACAGGATATCATGGACCCATTGAGTAACCACAAGCTAGCATGGCTCTAACTCTTGCTTCTCTAAGAATAAGAGACTCTTAAGTAACAGAAATAAAAAATGACATAAAACAAATGGACAGAAACCATACATTAGTTCTCATTCTTATGTATTTTGTATGTTTAAAATATGTGTTAATTTATATAGACAAGTGATGTAAACTTTGTTTTTGTTAAATACAAAAATAAACAATTGTACAAATAAACAATGGTTCAAAATAAACAATGGTTCAAAATAAACAATATCCTGTAAAGTAACTTTCTGACACATGTTTATATCAGTCCTACCAGATAAAAACAGAATTTCAAACACACAGAGACGGTTTCATATAGATTTTCTTTCCATGAAAATCTATATTCAAATTTCCACGTTTCCAAATTTCGTACTAATAAATTCAAACTACTCTAATCCTACACACAAAAAAATATCACACATTCTCAAGCACTTAATAAATTTTGAAATATATTTCTAAAAATCCATTCATATGTTTGAGTAACAGTTTTGTTGTGTATCTCTTTAGCTGTATGTATAACCTTCATTGTACTACTCTAACCCTATTATTAATCTGGAATCATAATAGATGACTCAGTCTTTTAATTTTCACGGGGACACTTTACAACATTCACAATTTATTGATTTATTTGCTTTGAAACAATACGTAGCTACTTCAATGCAATTTATATGCCCTATGGGCAATGTAAGTGATGTGGGGACACGGTAATTGTAATTTGACTTGTCATGTTGCAGTGAACCAAAGCATTTTTCATTCGGTAATAAAGTTACTGTAACATATGCATTACAAACACAGTGTGACATATACTTAAATTAGCTGCAAATCTGTACTTTGATAATTGATTTAATTTTCCAAAGTTGTTATGTAAGACAATGGGAAAAGCGAAACTATCAACAGGAAAGTTCAGTGACTGAAACGTTTTTTAAAAAATAGAATCATATTTGCACCATTCTATGGCTGAAAATGTATAGTATGCTGGCCTCGTGATGTCTATTCCACTTCATGAAAGTCCCCAACCAGGATTATACACCTCATGTTGCCAACACTCTGACACAAACTACCTAAATGGGCCTAGAATCAAGACTTTAGTCCAGGCTTCCTAGTATTAGCTGCGAATCTGTACTTTGATTTAAATTTCTAAAGTTATATTTAGTATTGTCTAAAAAGTAAAAGATTGGGAAAAGCAGAACTCTTTATACTAAATTATAGGAAAGTGAAGTGACTAAAACTGGACTTTTCACCAAAAAAATTAAATAATATCAATTTTGCACCATTTTATGGCTGGCAATCGAATTTGACCTGCCCCTGGACCCACTGACTTAAAAGTAATCCTTACGATACATCACATGTCTGTACACATTAATCTATGGCATGCTTCATGATGTCTATTCCTGTTCACTGAGACCCTAACCAGTATCCTACACCTCGTGTTGCCAACCCCCGACACAGACAAACTACCTAAATGGTGTTGGGGATCAAGTCCAGGCTTCGTGGTATGTCTGCAAGTAATGCTAAATTCCACAGCAATTTTCCACAAGACCGATAAGCATTATGGC